TACATAGAATTCTATTGTTGGGACTTTTAGTCATTGGTATTTCTTGAAATGTAATCCTTTGTAATGGCTAGATGAATTCCTCATTTTCAATCTATTGGTCATAATGTGTTATGCCTATAAATACTGTGTTGTCCAATAAATAAATTAAACAAGAATAAGTGTCTTGTGTGTGATTCCTCCCCACACTAAAACAATGGTAAAAGTGGGTTTGTACAAAATATTGGACACTGCAAAGCTATCATCTGGAAGGACAGCACAAAAGAAAGGAAAAATCTGCATACCACCTCTGACTGAAACAAGGACACACAAGTAGTCCTTCGTGCAGGTTCTTCCAAACACTATTATATCTAGACTGTGCTACACTGTTAAGTAGTTTCCCAGACATCGCAGCAGCTCACCTGGCTTCACCGTCAAAGATGACAGGAAGGCGAAGGCTCACAGGTGACCCACCTAGCAGCTGTGACATAAATAGCTGTCTGCCAACTGCTACTAGAAGCACAGACCTGACATCACTATCAAGAAAGAAAGACAGCTGAGAGTGGAGGCACAGGACTAATGATGCAGTTGACTGTCAAGGGCAAAACAAAGTTGGTGCTGGTTGTCATGGGGAATAAATCAGAACGTTTGCTGCTGTCATGTAATGGCTGAACTGGGAGGCCATATAGTGGGCTACTCCTGTTGGCACTTGAGCATCAGTCTCCTCCAGCCCACCTGCCACATGGAATTTGGTTAATTTTGGTAAAGACCGATATTTCCTGCAAACAGTTGTGCTGCAGAAGGTAGAGGTTCATGCTCTTGCTAATATTACAGAGGGTCTTGGGAGCTTCTAGCAGCTATAAAATAGCCAGCCAGTGCTACACATCAGGAATCACCCTGACAATGAGCTGCTCTCAGTTAGTCCCAGACAGCGAGCAAAAACATAGAGGGCTTCTGCCCCAATGAAACTGAAATAGGACCCAAAAGCAATCAGACCAAAATAGCTCATGCACAGTAAAATCAGCTCAGTCTGCAGAAAGGTCTACAGTAGCTGGAGTTAACTAGCCAAAAGTGAAGAGGTGTTGCAGCCGGTAGTGCCAAGCACATCCCATCGGCAAAAGCTCTCGTAAGGAGATGAAGCACTATCAGAAAGATATACACTCTTACAAAAGAGGGCTCTTTAAGGGTTCTTAAGTAAAGAAATGTTTTTTATAGAACCATGAACAGTCTAAGAACCCTTTGCATGATTCAAGGGTTTTTTGCATGATGTAGGGGTTCTTCAGATTGATAGGTTGATAAAGAATGTGCTGTAGATGGTTCTATATAGGACCTTAGGGGTTCTATTGTTCTATCCATCTATTGTTATCAAGCTTGTAACAATGGAAAAACCCTTTTCAAAAAGGTTATACATAAAATCGATAGCACACTCATGCACATTTTCCATCAATCTGAAGAACCCATTCATGATACATAGAACCAATTAATCAATCAAAGTGTTCTTTGAGTGTTCATGGTTCTATAAAAAATTCTATAAATTTTTTTTTTTCACTAAAGAACCCTTGAAGAACACTTTTATTTAAAAGTGTAGAGCTCCACTCCCAAAGCTGTGAAGCACAGACCGCTAATAAGAGACAGACAAAACTACTAAAAGCACATTGCCACCGTCACTCAGTGTTCTTCAGCAGCACTTACCCTACTACACTCACTTCTAGGCCAGCCAGAAAACCCATGATTGGCTACTTCGTGGAGGTTCCACCTTTACTATTGAATACCATTCCAAGAAATATAGCTGACTGACCGAAATATAGCAGACTCAGACTCCACTGCTACCATTAGCCACAGGCACCCCCACTGGACCACAAGCTTCCTCAGGGACTTGTAACTGTGAAGCATCAGGGCTGCTGTTTTGCTGACTTGGGAAGGTGTGGCGCTGTGGTTCACCCCTTCCCACTATTGGAAATTCTTGGTGCTGGCAATGTCTTGACATTATGCTGACTAGGCGAACTGTCGTTTTTTTAGACTGTTGGTTGAAGGCCTGTATTCCTGGCATTTTCCAGTAAAGATGCTATCTGAGAATGGCTGCTTTGCATGCCTATCTACCCTGTGCAGGTTACACTTTAACATACTGGTACTAAAGTTTGATCTCTTTTTGGAATTTGATCAAAGATGAATGACTAAAACTGTAACTGTAATAAGTACAAATATTATACATGCGTTTTTACATGATCATTTTCCAACTTCTGTTTATCCCTTAGAATTAAACAGGCTGTTTTTGTCTATAATATAACATATATGAGATCTCTTCTGATCGGCTGCCTTTTTCAAAAAGCACTCAGAACTGAAACACTCCCTAGAACTTCAATATGGATGGGCGGAGCTAAACTGCAGCAGGCTGAATAGGTGGATAGATGTAAATAAGTTCCACATATGGACTGTATGGACGGAGTAGAGAATGTATGATTCATGATGCAAAGAATCCCTTTATCATGCAAAAGATTCTTTGAGTGTTCATGGTTCTACATAGAACAATTTTCTTTACTATAGAACCGTTGAAAAACCATCACTTTTAACTGTGTAGTTTTTGACCTTCTACTTTTGTACTTCTATTCAAGATTTTTTGGAACGATGCTTTCACAGGCCATAACAAAGCAAAACAATCAAACAAACAAACAAACTAAGCAAAACATTTAAATGTGATTAGTCTATTTAGAGTGATTTTCTTTTGTTTGTTTTTCATTTAGAAATGGCTGAACAGGAATAAACAAGAGCTCCTTAAGGTATCTATTAATGAATTAATGAGATCATTTAGCCCTGCAGATGTACCCAGCCTCGTTGCTGATGCTGTAAAAGGATGTAATTCTCTGTCTAGGTTGCTTCATCCTAATGGAGAGTGCCTTTTTGAGAATGAGCTGACTAACTCATAACGCCTGTGTCAGCGAAAACAAAGCATTAGGCTGCAGAGCGCAGACGATCTGGCGCCATCTAGCGGATGCAGTGGACCGTCTCAGGGCTTTGTGAGCGGCTCGCTGGTGTCCAGTTCCCGGGAGCCAGTGCGGCTGAGGCTGACCGGCAGTGTGAAGTCCAGCATGTGAGGGAGCAGTCTGTCAGCTCGAGCGTCGTTCCTGTAGAGTCTGTAACTCAGTGACAAAATGCTGAGACTGAAGAGAAAAAGTTTCTGGACAAATTAGCCTCATGGTTTAGGATTCAGGCTGAAAGGGAAGAATATTCAGACTACAGATTACACGGTAAGTAGACTGGGCTGTCTGTGTGGCATAGAAAGATAGACAAATGGAGAGATAAAGCTATAGAGATCTATTTGCCTTCTGTGTGTCAGTCTTTCCATTTATCTCTTCACAAAATAACCACATTTCCCCAGACCTATAGTGATACAACATTGCTTTTATAGAAGTCCTATAGTAGTTTTCTATACGTAATATAGTATAGGCCTACTATACTAATTGTCATACTAATTATAGTAAACAATACTAATTGTTCCAAATTACTATAGTAATAGTATAGTATATTAATTTGGAATTAGTGTAGTTTACAGTAAGATACTTCATAAGTACAGATTATAATAAAATACAAGACTGCTATTTTTGATTGTAGATTATTTTAGAATGATTTTTCAGCACAATAGAAATCCTATCGTTTCTTTTCTGATGCACTACAGTTTTTCTCTTGTAACTCTGCCTCCAGAAACTATCATGTCTGGATAAATACACAATATTTATTCTTAATGTGACGTGAATTATGGAGCTGAAACTTTCAGCATTGGGTTATACCAATATTTTCTTTATAGATGTCATTACTACACAAGATATATCAGACTCCGTTACCCCTTTCTCTTAATCTTGTCTACATGCCTCTTAACACTCCAATACAGAGAGATCAGGCTGGAGTTATTACTGCTTAATGCATCTCTGAGTATGCCCACATATGCCACAGCGTTGATGGGTCATCTGTCTCTGTCTCTGTCTCTGTCTCTCTCTCTCTCTCTCTCTCTCATTAATGGCAGCCTTGGATCTTAAGGGCTGAGCAACCAGAGCCATGGCCACTTGTTTTATTCAGATGAATAATATACCCAGATTTGCTGTTGACATAGTTCATATTCATGTAGTTAAATGGACACAAATTAATATGGTGTTAACTCTATTGTGCACCAGTTCAGGGACTGAACTAAGCTAGCAGAAACCTGATATTTGTGAAGCATATGTGTCAATTTTCAGGAACTACAGTGAGCTAGCCAAAAACTGAAGGTTGTGAAGCTCAATCTGTCTTTACAAAAGAATATCTGAAAAGCAGTTTGTACTGTGAACTAGGTCCATCACACTGGTAAGTCAGCACTGGTACAGGGATGCACTCTGTCAGAGGCAGTGAATGTGCTGAATACCCCTTGTGTTATGTTTCAGTGAACTGTTGATTACTCACTGACCACGAAACACGAGACGCACTGACCTAAGATGTACTTAAAATGAATACAGCGCAGAGTCCGCGGGCAACACAAGGAAACTCGGAAAGTAGGGCAGAATGTCAAAACAGATGAGCTTCATCTCGAAACGGTGGTGGCAAACTAATTAGCTCTATCCCCTTTAGTTATTTGAAGGCACGACAGGGGGTCTTGATTACGAGAATATGCAGGAGAGTGAGTGATATGAACTGATTATGACAGAAGTGAAACTTAAAGGATGCAATTCTGATCTTTACAATAAGCTGTATATGTATGTATATGTATTGCTTTCATTTCTCTCTCTCTCTCTCTCTCTCTCTCGCTCTCTCTCTCTCATTAATTTCCTCACAGCTGTGGTGTCACACTCCCAATCTTTGTTCTAACTACACAGTTGCTTGATGATAATTAAGCTTAACGACAGGGCCATTTTGCCCTCAGAATAACTCTACAGACAATCAGCTGTGGCAGTGATAGCAGGGTGTCAATTGTAATAACTTGTTTTCCTGTGCCTGCGTCCTGCTTGTTTCTTTGCAGTCATGTTTGCGAGGCAGCTTCAGTAGCCTGCTTCTCTCTGATGGTCCAGCATCTCAGTGCCCCCCGGGTAGGAGATGCCTGTGTCCTGCCATGCCACATCTGCCAGGCTCCCTGTTGCTGCGACTGGCCCTGCCTTGCCTGCTGCTCCGAGTGTTGGGTCTGTACTGGGTGTCCGGTAGGGATTCATATGGCTAAAAATAAAAGAATGGCTTTAAGGTCAGGGCAGGGCAGAAACAGGCTAGTTGCTAATCTGTGAGACCCTTTAACATCTATAAATTAAAAAGCACTTAGATAACTTATAACTTCACTTAAGTTACAAGCTGGTCGCTATGAAAATTCTTATTGCAATATATTTTTATATCATTCAGCGTAAGTGCTATACACTTGTTTAATACTTAACTCCAAATAATGTTTCACGTTCCTGAAACAAAAAGGGTAGTAATTCTAGTTGTTCTGAACTAAAAAAAAAAACAACAAACAAAAACTCATTCCACGCTGCTGATGACAGGCGGCCTTTTCCACAATCACATCTTGTTCCAATATGTTTTCCTCATTTTCCTCCATATCCTCCAAAGCCTTTTTACTGTCCATAACTGCAGTATGGAAAATAGCTAGGTAAGTCCTCTAACTGCCAGGTTTCTGTTGTTATGGCTTGATTTTCCACTCCGGTTCCATCTAGTGAGAAAAAGACCATCTAGTGTACCAAAATAGCTTTGTTTTTAAAGTTCATTGATATTGGATTATTTTCATAATTAAGGTTTTCACTTTTTCGATACTGAAAATAGCTAGTTCTCCTAACTGTCCTGCTGTTTCATGCTCTCGTAAGTGAACAGCAAGACCTTCGCCCCCCACTGTATTGAAGTAGCAGCTATTCTAAGTTCAGGCCTTTGATGCTAATACCAGCTGGAGCAACTGGACTGCATTATCATTTAGCAGAAATGCCTCAAATGTGTGTAATCAACATCAGAAAAATATTGACTGTAGATAATTACAGCTAATGGTTTTGTGGCCAGGCCTAGGGTCTGGGTCTCGCCAGCTGACGGCCGGATGTCCGGAAAGCTGCTATTGCTCAGAGAGCTTGGATGGTGGCCTGGTGGTGCGCTGCAGCAACATGAACCTGCTGGCTGTTCCGCGCGACCTGCCCAACCAGACACGACACCTCTACCTGGATTACAACCTGCTGGTCAGCGTACCTGCAGACTCCTTCCTGAAGCTCCCTCTCCTGGCTGAGTTGGACCTGTCTCACAACAGGCTGGTCCAGTTGGAGCCTGGAGCCTTCCGTGGCCTGGCCGACTCATTGACCAGCCTGGACCTTTCCTCCAACCTGCTGGAGACGCTGGACCCAGAGGCTGTAGGTGAGCTGCGGGCGCAGGCCAACCTCACCCACAATCCTTGGATGTGTGACTGCCGCCTGCAAGTGGCCATGCCTCAGCTGCAGCTGGAGCCCTCCTCCCTGGCTGGAGTGGTTTGTAACAACTCAGAGCCAGAGGACGTGGGGGCCCGCGGTGTGCCCTTCGTTCTGGTAGCTGCTGATCTGGACCTTTGCGCTGCCCTCAAGAGGACCACTGACGTGGCCATGCTGGTGACCATGTTTGGCTGGTTCACTATGGTCATCTCTTACCTGGTTTACTATGTGAGGCACAACCGAGAGGATGCTCGGCGCCATCTGGAGTATCTCAAGTCACTGCCCAACAAGCAGGGTAGGACAGAGGAGTCGTCTACCCTCAGCACCATGGTGTGAGTCTGGCTCAGGATGTTAAAGTTTACCTTTTCAGTGAATTGGTAACAGTTTGTTGGTAGTTAGTATGAAGATATTTCTTGCTTTATATCTTCTACCGGTTTCTCATACTGTAGGAAACAGAGCCGGATAGACACACTCAATCATATGCCTTTTTTGTTATATGGTATTTTTCTCCTAGCTTTTTTCTTATTTACCTTTTTCCAGTAAACATATTGATAATCATTGAAAGGCTATGCATGGTTTGTTATTGTTCAGGTTGAAGTCTTTGGCCATTATTTATTTAATTAACCTTCAGAGATAATTGGCAGATTACTCGATTGCTAATGCCATTGATAATGAAAAGCCATATTTAACTGTGACTTTTTAATTGAACTGAATAGAGTAATGCTGTCTAGTCTTCAATGTATGCCATTTTGTAGCATTGTAAAAATTTGGAACACCATGATACGGCACTTAGTGGTCCAGTTGATCTGCACAGTATTATCAAAAGTGGACACACTGTGATTTATGGGATATGTTTTGTGGTAGATTATATTGTATGCAGTGTCTGGTGTGATCTACACATTGTCTTTTGTTTCTTTTTTGTACTGTGTAGAAAACTGACTGTGTTGTCTCCGTGCTGTGTCTGCCTGTCTTCAGTTGTGTTAGCTGGGGGTGGTTGCCATAAAGTCACAAAGGAAGGGGAGGCAGCTGGGAATTACATAAAACATTCCCATCTGTGAATTCAATATTTTACAAGTTATGAACATTGACACTTACAGTGCAAGTTAACTTAAAGCCAGTATGACAAAATGTCTGAGAAAATGCATGTAAAGTCTTGCCATCAAACATACAGACCTAGTGTATATGTTACTCTCTGGCCTGTTGATTATAAATTTTTAATCTATTAGCACCTGAAGCATGATTCTGTGCAATTTTAAGCACATAAATTCTAGTTATGAACTTTAGAAATCTATGTACAATAGCCTATGATGCATAACATAAGATTTTCTGTAGACAATCCCAATACGGCAGTGTAATTCAATGTGTAAATTAATGTGATTGTTCTATAATACATGTAACGCCTGACATGATAAACAGATTATGCTACAGTGTTTGTCTTCCTGTGTTCTTTTCCTGCTGACATTCACAGAGTTCAAGGTTAGTTGGATATTTATGTTTGAAGACATGTAGAGGTCACAACACATCATTCAGAGTCATTCCATCAGAGTCACTGCTACAGCTGTGCCTCTTATTTCTGCTTCAAAGGTAGCATTTCAAAAATTGCTCCACTGACTCGTTCCACAGTGGCCAGAGCTCCACTGACCCAATCGGTGGCATACTGGAGTGAGGGGGCAATCACACTGGAACTGCGTGCTGGGGGACCTGTGGAAACCAGGCCTGCTAAATTCTTCACCAGACCTCTCATATTGATACTGATATAATTGTACACACATGACTCACGCGAAGATTTGATTTCTTACAGCTTACCTCAGCAGATAGCTTCCATTAACACTACACAGACAGCTTTAACATCTATTTATCCCAGTCTTGATCATAATGCACGGTAGGCCTTTTAAACAGATCCTTCACAGCCTCCACAACATGGTATAGTCATCATTTATACTTTCAAATCAAATGTTTTAGACATAATAATAGCAAATAAACAATGAAAATTAGTGCCATTTTTTTATTTATTGACAGTAATTTTCAGATTGGGTTGAAATTCATTTTCTTGCACTGGGACTCACAGGATTCTAGTTAAGTCAGTGGACTAAACTGTTCTTTAAGTTCATAAAATGGTGTTCCATTTCTGATTGGATCTAAAAGTGTACTGCAGGAAAGTTGTAGTCTCTGTTAAGCCTGTTCTCATTAGGAAGCATAACCATCAAGTTTCAATCATAATGGTTTTAACGTTTTTTTTAACAGGGATGTTTTGTATCTGACGTTTGCTTTTTTAGCTTTGCTCTGAGATTAGTTAGTAGGAGGGTGACATCCAGTTTCTGAAAATGCCAGTTATAGGATAAAAGTATGGTCAAGATTCAGGCTTGACAATTACTGCTAATACTGTTTTCAGCTATGCTACATACTTTTGTCCATATTTACATAACGGTATGTCATACAGTGTCAGAAACCAAATGTGCAATTCCAATTTAGATTCACTTTACAACTTGACTTGATTTGAGGCAAGAGTGTGATGTTTTAGACATACAATTACACAATGCTTACCCTGGTACGGTATTAGCTTCATGCTAGTTTTTTATTTTTTATTTATTATTTTTATTTTCATAAAGCTGCTTTGTGACAACACCTGTTGTAAAAAGCGCTATATAAATAAACTTTGCTTGCTTGCTTGCTAAAGAAGCAAACTTCAGAGAAGGTGCATGTAGGCTGATCAAGGATTACCAATGACAGCTAAAAGACTCATTCTGTGCTCTAAAACTAAACACACACACACAAAATCTGAAACGTGACATCCAGTTTGCCTGTATTGTTGTAATAACCTTGTACTCATTAGCAAAAACACATCTGCAATCACGGCCCTGTTCCACTCCAAGTTAGATGACGCAGCTAGTACTACTGCCCCCCGAGGCCGGACCTAGACTTCAGCCTACTCACATTACCACGGGGGGTTCATGCTTGACTGGGCATAAGTTCCCAACACATCAGCCCTGTCGCCTCTAGGTTCCTTTGTTGGGCCTTGCAGACACGGTGCCAGCCAGCACCTGCTCCTCGTACTGGGTGAACTATGTATAGCATGTGGTTCAGGCTGCGAGCAAGTGTCTTTAAAGGTTTAGAGCTGCTGTGCTATTCTCAGAGCACCTCACAATAGGTGTGAAGAACCAAGGGTTATCCTGGTACACTAAGTTGTACATGCTAATTTAGGGCCAAGCTTTACCTTCATATTCTATTGAAGGTAATATACACGAGTGGGGGAACAGATCTACATCAGTGACCATACTTACAAGGTTTATTTCCTTTTTTAATGGATGGAAGTATTTAGAACAATCACAACATATGCATTGTTTTTCAATAACTTTGATGGAATATATTTTGATTGAATTGTGTATGATTTACAAAACGGAAGTGAACTGGGTTTTCGTCTTCACAGGCGAGCAAGCAAATCAACATTTAAAAGTGTTTTTATTGTGTTTAAATGCGATTTTATTATTGTGTCAATTTTTGAATGAAGACAACAGCAATCTGTTTTATCTCAGCATGGCTGTCTTTGTGGAGAGGTGTGAATTGTTTCACCCCTCACTGCTCCCTAGCAGCACAATATAGAGTCAGAACAGTGCATACACAGAGATGACCAACACTGACCTAGTTAAACTGAAGACAGACATGGGTAAAAATATTTTGCTTTATTATTTAAAAATATCAAATCCATTTCCATTCCTCTGGTTGAATGGCCACTATGGGGCCTGCAGAAATAGACTATGAGATATGATAAAATACTTCATTTCCACTTTAAAGACAAAGAATTTAACCATTCTTAGTGGAGACCAATACTGCATTTGACTGTACTGTATTGGTCAATAGTGTTTTTGAGGTTTCTCAGGTTTCTGTTTTTAATCTTTTGTTTTCTTTCAGATCTTTTCCCCACAGGTTTCAGGTTTATTTCTCTGTTTATATGTTCCCTGCAACCTTCAGTATGTTCTTTTCCCTCTCCACCTCTGCATAGCACTGGTCATGTGATATAGCTTTCCTATGAAAGAGAATGGCATGCATATAGCTGAGAATGTATCAGGACACTGAACACACATGTAGAACCTCAAGGACACAACCTGGAGGGTTCATTGAAAGCACAATGATGAAGAGGCTTTGTGATCACCACCCACACCGAAGCTCAGCGCTTAAGCTTGTGCCTCCCACCACATAGCATACAAGAACACAGGGCCAAGGTCAGCATTCTTCCATGCTGAATCTTATGAGGAGAGTTAAGGGTTTTGTCAGTTTGAGTGGCAAAAAGATGCCTTGGTAATGTTTGTAAAGCACTAAATAGGTGAATTACAGTGGTGTTCATTTAGGCACAGGCTCAGTCTTTAAGTGTAGGCTAAAAACCTACTTGTTTAGTCAAGCCTATGGTAATTAGTTTTTCCTGTTAGATAAAATGTGCAGATCTGGGGGTTCATTGACATAGAGTATTATGGTAAACTAGGAGTGTTGGTGCTGTCGTCCCACTGCTCTCACGCGTTCACTGAAGTTTGTTGAAGGATGGAGTGGACATCTCATGGAGCCCCCATGTCTGTTACCTTCTGCCTCTCCCTTTTAGTGAGGCTGTAACTTAGCTCGACCTGCCGGAGTCTCTGCTGCACTATTATTACTGTATTCTGTAATCAGTCTGTGCGGTCTGATGCTGTTACTTCATCTGCAGTGCCCACTGCTCACCAGCTTTCTGGGCAAGTTTGACCACCATGGAGCTCTACAATGCTGGTCAAACCTCACCTGCACACCACTGACCCTCCTGATGATACTGCTTCTGGACAGACTTGAACTATTTAATCATTGCGATTGCTTCTCTTGCTTTTCCCCTTTTCTGTGTCTTATGCTTACACTAATGGTAAAACCTTATTCTCTGCTGTTATTGCTCTTGTGTTATTGTTCTGACCACAGAGCCACTCTTGGCTGGATATTGTTAAGTGGTAGACCATTCTCAACCTCGCTTTGACACTGACATATGTAATAACCCCAGCTATGCTTATGTAATAACAGTGCTATGCTTATTAGCGCAAAAAAAAATAGAAAAAATATTCACTACGCAAATAATATCTGGTCAAGAGTGATCATGTGATCTGAAACTGACCATTGATGAATGGGGTAGACTGCGGCCGGCAAACTATACCACAACCAATAGGCCACGGTCTTTAATTGTGCATTAATATTGTGCCTTATAGAGTAGGTGTTCCTAAAAAAGTGGCCAGTTCTTTGAAGGTTTTTCAAATAAAGTGGACACTGAGTGAATGTTAAGTGAAGGGAAGCGCTTACATGTATGACTATAAACAGCTATAAACAGTCATAAGACTTATTTAAAAATAAGTCTTAGCATTAATGATGAATAATGGTGGTTAACTTGTAAAACACTTTTGTTTCTTCTCTTGCTTGTAACAGCTGATCCAAACACTGAGTCGGCTTGTCCCTGGCGATGTTGTAGTGATAGTAAAACTAGCACAGTAACAAAACCCAGGAAACAGTGGATAGAATATCAAACCCAGATGGTTGTACGCCATGTCCAGTGTCTGGTGACATGCTCAGATAAGCGCTGCAAGTAAATCAGTCTCACTTCAGCATTTAAAAGAGTGATGAATGATATTGTCCACTGAAGGAATTAAAGATTTATGAAAGATTCATCAAATGATTGCTATACATGAGTAGTGAGTGCGGTGTTGTACATGATACGTGATAAGGTCTAGCTACTCCAACAGCTGCCACAGGACAATGCAATCAAATTAACGTAATTAAAAAACAGAGAATATGTTGATTAAAGGGAAAGTCCTGAGTGTATCAGAGAAAAAAACTTACGTTTCTTCTTTTTCTTCTCACCAAGCAACACTGTTCCTACAAATCAACACTTTAGAATTTAGAAAACTTAAGAATTATTGCACCAGTTAAAGCCTGTACCTGCCACTCGCTTTATAGTCATTACAATTACAAGTCCTAAAGTAGTTTATTTTTGATGCATCTTTAACAGAAAAGGTTCATTTGTTCAAAATATGATAGGTGTGATTGCTTAACTGTCTATCCACCGGATGGCGCTACAACTTCAATGTTACATTTATCACCCCTGCATTATCAGCAGAACAGATTTTCGTCAGGTACAGAAACAGCTCCATCACGAGCTGATGCTGCTTTTTACAATTAGATAAAAACTCTCAAGCACAGAATGTAAAGAAGCTAGTAAAACAGCTAACAAAGAATTGAGAAAACAAGAAGCAGCTAGCAAAGCAGCTAAGTACAAATGCTAGCAAAAGACCCAATAAAAAGTCATCATTCCCAAGGAGCAGCAAAGCAGCTAACAAAGAAAGTTAGATACAACCCCAAGTGATTAGGCTAGCAAAGCAGCTCACAAAAAACTGTGAAAATAAGATACAACCCAGCAGCT